CCTCCACTCCACCACAGAGTCACCGCAGTAGACGTTAGATGAGCGCTGTCGCTATGCGGCACTTGTTAATTTATATCTGTGGCCACTGTTCTCTAAAACTAAATCAAAAAGGCAATTACAGTTAGTTTCTTTTCTAAACCAACGTGTCGATATGATGCGAAATTAAATTTGTATGTGTAACTACAATATAAAGGATACAGCTTTTGCACAGGTATTGCTGTAATGAAGAGTAAACCGTTATTGACTATGCATTGAATGAATCGAATCAATCGCACATTTTATCTATGGACGAGATGTATCTCATTCTCTATGTTCAAGCTGAAACATTTCATGCAATTTTTAGCACCTTATCATTATGTGACAATACAAATTTTGAACTTTTGTGTAAATATGGTATTTTGGACATTTCCAAATTACCACAAAGAGTGTAAAAGCAAAATTTTCACCACAAGTTAGACACAATATGCACTAAAATCATCCGTTATGATTTCATTATGATTCCGTTATGATCATGAAATATAAAAATTGTTTTTATATTTAGCGAAAAAATGAAGAAGAAAAAAAACTGTGTAAAATCTAAGTCGTATCTTCGGATTGAACATTTATGCAAATAAAGAACCATAATTTATAACAGACGGCACTTAATATCAAACCCTGATGCATTTTTTTTACAACAATGCGTTATGATGAAAACAAGTGTAGAATTAAATTATTCCGAATTGTAATGACATATCGGCTAATGAAATATCCATTTATACATCGGCTACTGTGGCAGAAATTGAAACGGAGAAATCAGTGTTTTTCTACTTTTCACAATGATCGACCGCCAGTGTGCAAAATGGGTGAACGTATGTGAAACATCTACTGTTAGTACTTACTGCGACACATCCATGACTAACTGAAATCACTAAATTGGTAATATATTCTGTGCACCTTAAAAAATTGCACGAAATTATGAGGTTACCATCGCATTTTCATGCGAAATGCACGAACGATGTGTACTGCATAACGTCAATAAGCTACATGTCAACAAACTCGGGCCTTTATGTAAGAGTATGTAACGAGGTGTAAATGCTATTTTCGTTCCCGCGTCAATTTCAGCTATCACTGGTAGATGACAGCTGTATAAGTGTTGATGCTGATAGATTCTGGTATAATGAATCCGGGGTAGAAATTAACTTTTGAACAAGGGAGAAATTTTCAAAAAGAGGGAGTCCGCAGTCAGAAGTTCAAAATTAAAGATATTAACAATAACACATGTGCTTATTTTTAAGATTCATGCGGTTGCATGTCTGCCAAATTTTCTTTGGACTTTTACTGAAAAAATACAGTAATTCCGCGAGGCCGTCCTCTGGAATGAACTAGTTAGAATGGCAGAATTTTCAGGGAGTCGCACGGATTCCTGCATATGTCAAATCAGGGAGTCCGACAGTAAATTAGGGAGTATTTCACTCCGGACTCCTGTTAATTTCGCACCCTGCACAAGGGTGGCACCTGGTGTTGGCCAACGAATAAGACTGAAAATGAAGAGTCAATGAAATTTTGTATTAAACCGCGAGTGTATCCTTAAATATATTAGCAACTTACTGATGTTTCCCTAACTTTACTGTTGTAAACTACCTTGATTAAATTTAGGTTATTAAGGTTGTGAGTTTAACCAGCTAATTGTTTTCCATTGCAGAAACTGGGAAATTTGTTGATATGCTATTTGAGTCATTAAAAACCAAAACGTACATTGTAAAAGTAGAAGAAAGTAATGGACTCCAGGCTTTATCACAGTCAGAAGAAAGAAATGTCATTGTGAAGCAAGAGGAAAAGATTGATATTAAGAAAGAGGTATGTGCCTGAAAAATTGACATTCATTTCGGAAGAGGAATTGTGTCATCACAGTTTGTGTATGTTAGCACATTAAATGCTTACAGGTACACCACCGATTTTCCGGAACCCTTGGTCCAGGTACACCCCCAATTCAACCATACACCTCTAAGCAACTAAATACCTCCCATGTCTCTAAAGCGCCATGCACTGCTAGAAACTTAAATGAATGGAATTTTTTTGTGTTTTTTTAATTTTATTATTGACACTTGCACCTGCCTTAGAATCAACATAAAATCAACAGCTCACCACCAAATGCTGCAGTTTAAACAATTTAAGGAGAGTGCGCCACCGGCAACGCCATCTGTGGCCACCCGGTAAACTAATAGGAATTTCAAATGAATTTTATCCGGACTAAAAGAGGTTCCGGACAATCGGTGTCCGGAAAATCGGTGGTGTACCTGTATAATACTTTGGTAATGTGTGTGCTAAAACATAAGTAGAATGTGAAACTTTTTAGCTGTAAAAAATCGTGAGGTTGGATTATGAATGGGAGATCATAAATATTTTGCTATTAGAGTACTTAGTTGTGAAGGTGGCATGTTTCTTCTGCAGTCGGATGAGGAGAATAGGAAACCACCAACAGAAACAAGGCCTCGAAGTCCAACCATTTCCGTGCGAAGAAGCAGCCCTGGTAGAAGAAGTCCACTAAGGAGAAGTCCGGAGAGAAGACGGAGCAGGAGCCCTGGAGGAAGACAGTTTGTTAGAAACAGGTAAGTGTGAGAAATTTATTTGTCATACAGGGTTTCTTATACATAGGAGGCATAGTGGCGCACCACCGTTGTCAAATTTAACATCGCCGTTCTGAAAATGTTCCTGTATTTACTGATAAGTATATCCTGTATCTATATACCTATAAGTATATCAATACATCCTGTATTTGAATACATCATGCGTGTTTTTTCCCAAACTGGCCTCATTACCTCCTCTGTCTAATTTTCTCTCAGAAGAAACCCAGTCATATTAAAACCATTTCAAAAGAAGTCTCATTGGTAAAAAATTAAAAATGCTATTCCCACTGTGTATAATTGTAAACCTAAAAGACGTGTATTGACTCACTGTGTAGCACTGGATAAGTCTGATAACACGATCATTGGTTGTTAAAACATAATATGATGGATTTATGTAAACTCCTAACAATTTTTGTTATCACTAGTGACTAGGCATTCTTTACTGATGTCGCCTTAATACAAATAACCAAAAAAGTATGTTGTATAAGTTTATATGAGGAGATTACCATGTCCGTTCATTTGTCTCGGAGACTGATTGACATGATGTGTGGTGACGTGTCAGTGTATTCTTACAGGGACGACCGAGGAAGGCGGGACTACGATGACAGGCGCTATCCCATTCGACGGCAGGTTGGAAGTCGTTACGACCGTGCCCCGCCCTCAAGGAGGAGGAGAACTCGTAGTCGGTCTCGCAGTCGGTCGCCCGATCGATTGAAAGGTAGCCTCCGTTTCTTTCGTGTGGAAACGGGACAGTGTATTCGTCAATTAGAGCTATGTAAAAATACCCGAAAAGCTACTTCTTTTTCATCTGGCTCTAAGAAAAATGAGTTGTTTTTTTGCATCAAACACTAACCCATATCCTAACCTTTTCAATGTTTGGAATTGCAGCAGATAGTGGAAATGTACTTAGCTGTTTCCTTTGAATATTGTAACTACTCATGGAATATCAATATCCAGGGGTAGAAATTAACCTTTGAACAAGGAAGTCCGTGACAAAATGAGGGAGTCTGGAGTCTGAAGTTCCAAATTAAAGATATTAACAATAACGCATGTGCTTATTTTGAAGATTCATGCGGTTGCACGTATGCCCAATTTTTTTTGGACATGTGCTGAAAAAATACAGTAATTCAGCGAGGCCTTGCTCTGGAACGAACTAGTTAGTATGGCAGAAGTGTCAGGGAGTCACGCGGACTCCTGAATATGTCAAATCAGGGAGTCCGGCAGTAAATCGGAGAGTATTTGACTCCGGACTCCGGTTAATTTCGCACCCTGAATAACTATGTGTTAACCCCATTTTGCCATCTTGCTCTGTACAGCAAGAGCAGCTAGTCCGCACCCGAAGTCAAAGTCACGGTCAAGGTCACCAATAGCGGCTGATGCGAAATTGCGCAGTCCGCTGCGATCCCGGGACACGCCCACGCCTCCGCCCCCACCGATCACGTCTGTCAATTCTGCAGTAGCACCGCCTCCTCCTGCTGCGCTGGTGAGCGAGGGCAGACGTGTCGGCAAACCCCGATGTCGAGATTACGACGGTGAGTGGTCGCTGATTTCCTCACAGTGGAAATAAAAAGTCCCTCGCAGTGTACACAGCAATGCATTTCGTTCGACATCTTAAATTTGAGACTGATTCTGTCGGTCTGAAATTTGAGATTGATTCTGATTCTGATTCGGTCGGCTGATTCCATCCTAGATGCCTCGTGCTGTTATTTCGGAGGCCATACTTAGGCGTCGCCTACTCCATTCAACAACAGTGAACTTAAGTGTCCATTGGCATGAACTTGATTATGCTAATTATGTGATTGCAGAGAAGGGATTCTGCATGAGAGGTGACCTGTGTCCATTTGACCATGGTCAGGACCCGGTCATAGTGGAAGACGTAAACCTACAGTCGATGATCACGTTTGGTACACCTGTGCCTGGTTAGTGGAAGCACAGTCGTAAAATAGTTTTGCGGTTGTTATTTCCTATCAATGGGCCATTACAGCTTCTGCTTTCGGTTGGTATTATATGGTGCATATTATTCGATAGGCAAAATTTGATAAGCGTACATATTATAAATGCACAGTCTTGTTGAAAGTGAAAAGCTGTGAAATTGCGGAGTCACAATTTTCTAAATCTAGGACTGGATGTGTTTTCAATCGTATTTGCCATTACTGTATTATTTGATGCCATGCTGAACACGTCTATAAAGCAGAATGTCGTCGTCTCGCAGGAATGCCTGGGCCGCCGCAGGGCCCGCCGCCGCATCAGCCGGGCATCGGCCCTCCGCCCTCGATCACGTCTATGTCCGGCAACCCGATGCCAATGTCGCATCCGCCACCGCCGCCGCACCGTCCGCCCGTGCCCATCTCACAACACAGCCTGCCGCCGCCGCCACCACGCCTTCCCGTCGAGCCGTACATCCCCGAGCCGTACAACCCGGAGACGCCGGGAATCAGCCGGCCGCGCGCGCCGCCACCCCCCAGCATGCCGCCGCCGCCGCACCGGCCACACGGAGGACCGCCCCCGCCGTTCTGGAACCCTCCGCCGGGATTCAACCGGCCGGTGCGACATGCAGCGCCACTGAGGCAGCGCGAGCTCGTCTCGCTCGTCGGCTCCCACTCCGTCGCCCCGACAGGTAACGTTCGCCGATTGTCTCTCTTCGCGATGCCATCTCTGCGAAAAAGATTGCGGTAACCTGACATGTTCAACAGCCGGGGTGTCTGCAAAATTGTAATTGCCGCTTGTTTGTCGCAAGCGGATTTGTCGCTTTATGTGTACAGCTGTATATGTCCTTGTAAGTAACGTGTCGGGGATAAATCTCATGTTCGCCAATCGTCGCCCGCGATGCCGTTACATCAACAGGGTTCGACACTAACGCTAGTCCGTTAGTCCGAGACTAGTAAAAAATAAGAAGGACTAGTAAGTGCCCCATAGCTGTTAGTCCTGTGGACTAGTTATTTTCCCCGTCCCTCACCGTCCCAATTTCCCATCCTCCCATCGATTTTACTATAGTCTGATAGTCCCGGCGTCAGCTTCTCTCAACAAATATCCAAAGAGCTATATATATAACTCATTGCCATCAACAAGTTTTCCCTAGTAGACGTGCTAGTACAAGTAGACGCTAGCATGTTCTGCACGCTCTAAGCACGCTAGACCCTATGACAGTACAGACATTGTTAAAAACAATGGGGCCACGAGTCTACTGATCGATCGCTTGACAGTAGCTGTTGACATAGAACAAACGGTCTGAACCGTCTGATTGTATAAATGACACAACGAATCATAGCGAGGTATTTACATCGCAACCACATCGCATGCGTGTTTTACTTGAAGCTGTCGATACAAATTGTTATTTATAGTAGTGATACAAGTAGTGAAGCATATTAGTAGGTACATCCTTATCCAAATACTAACATCAAGGTTGTTATGTGGGTCCTCCACCTCCCAAACGTCGCAGGAGGAGAAATTAGATGGCCAGCGTGTATATGATAAGACCAAAAGGATGCATACGTTCCAGCCAGCGTGGAAATCGTCATACCCGTGGCTAGAGTATGACCCGGCCAAGGGTATGACTTGTGGTGCAGGCTGTATGTCTGGTAGTTTGTTTCACCGGCACTACAAACTATCGTTTGGAAACTGTTAAAGCGCATAATGCTTCCGAGGGGCACAGAAAGATCATAGCAAAAAGAAATGCAAGGACCATGCCTGTTCACGAAAGAGTGGGGGCAAAAACACTAACTTTAACTAGACAGAGGGCACTCACGGAGAGTGCATACCTCCACCAGAGACATACTCCATACGACTCACGAACACACGAATAACCCAGGATATACGCCAGCACATGTACATGTATGTGTTACGAGCTGGCTCGCCGCTCGCTGCTGCTGACTGACTGGTCTGCTGCTGACTCGACGCGCTAATATCGATTGCGCGAACACACTAGCACACTAACACACGAACACACTACACGAGAGCGATCCCATAACCTCCTCCACTTCGTGGGCGGAGGTAATGAACAAGGCCACAATAGCAAAACTGAATATCCTAATTAGAAATGCAGCATAGCTATTTGAAAAAAACGGCAGCCCTACACTGATTAGTCAAGCTGGCCAGCTTGACAAGCCCATAGGGTTATATGTCGGCAGAACTTAACTCACCGACAAGGCCTGCTAGAGGTTCATTATGGCGATAGCCGATACAAGCGGCCGAAAGCAGTTTGGAGCTATAAATGAGGCCAATCCTTGCCGTGATAAGGTGAGCCGGGATCCACAGATCCTCATCAAGGAGGCTCGAAATTTTATTTCGAAATTAAAATTAATTTAATTTTCAATTAAAATTTAAATTTAATTTTCGAATAAATTTAATATTAATTTTCGAAATTAAAATTTAATTTAATTTAAATTTTAATCTATAATGCCATATCAAAGTTACTATATTTATACCAATTGACAGGGTCTTTTGGCAAAAACCAGTTTCTGTGGAACACCCCCTTTACCCTGGGGGAAACCGGCGCCTAGCAAAGAAGGGGGGGGCTCCACCCTCCAAACCCACCTACCTCCTGGCAAATCACAATGCTCGTCGCTCCTGCGCGTAGTAAAGGTCCCTTCCGCAGGACTAGTAGAATCTTGGAAGGACTAGTACATTTTTTATTTTACTAGTCCTGTGGAATAATGAACTAAAATGGTTAGTATCGAACCCCTTAAAAAGATTTCTCGTTTGCGGTAACCTGACGCATTTAACAACCGGGGTGTCTGCAAAATTGTGATGTGCCGATTTGTCGCTTTATGTGTACAGTTGTATATGTACGTGTAAGTAATGTGTTGAGATAGAAATTAGGCCTAACTATTCTAGTTTTGATGGTACGCGATGCTACGGCCAGTGAGTTTTTCAACGTGATTACGTCTGCTCAGCTTGGGAGCTGTCACGTCATCGGGAATAGGGAATGACGTTGCTTTGTGCTCACGCATGGTTTTCGCATCGACGCAGGTGCTGAACATCAGAGGCAGCAACCAGATGTCGCGTTGGGAAGCAACCGCATTGTGATCACGCAGAAGCGTCCGTATGACGACGTGGACAAGGATCGCATTCCGAGCTACAACCCTGAAGAGCCGGCGAAGCGGTCGACCGGATTTGACTACAGCCGACTGGGTATGGTGCGCCCGCTCACGCTGGGCTTTCATCCACAGCAAATAAGTAATAATAAATACTTGGTATGCAGTCGGTTCATTGAATGCGCTGCTGCGCACATGCTGTTGTGATATTGAATGCAATGCTACCTTCATGCTGCGGAAAGATTAAATAGTCGTTAGGGTCGGGCTAGGGTGGGACGATTCATCGATGTATCGCAATACAAATGTCGACGATACACTTATCGATACATGTCGTGCGGATCGTATTGTTAGTAACCTGTATGGTCTCGCTCCTAATAACTAGTTATAATGCTTACAGTTGGTCCTCTATTGTGTGGTGTAGATTCAAGCATGTAGTTAGTCATAAAAATCTCAAATTGTATCACATGGTAATCTCTCTTTGTGAGTACACCGTGAATTTGCGTGTGGAATCCGCAAATGTTTCATGCAATTATGTAGGTGTTTGCAGATTGTTTCTATGCAACTTTCTGGAATGCGGGTGCCGTTTGCTTGCAGGTGGGATCAAAAAGACGTCGGGGTACGATCCCAACAATGTCGTGCTTGAAATCAGGAAAATTCCACGTGGATTTAATAATATCGGCAAGATAAATGAACACTTTCAGAAGTTTGGAACCATCACAAATATCACGGTGAGTTGATTCATTACACCACTGAGCACGCAGTGAAAGGACTTTGAATTAGTGTCTTAACATGTCAACGCTGCCTTGTTAACAATGGATCTATTGCCTTGTGCTGGAATTTTCGCTTATTCTTCAATGTTTTACATCAAAATTTTCATCTATTTACACACAAGAACACCATGATATTTTTAGACATTCAAAATATACAGAAGATGTGCAGTAAATATCTGTTTTGATATTTTATCAAATCTGTCGACTACATTACAAAATAATAACCTGAAAAACCTGTAAATGTCGACTTTTTGTGTGCCAGCCGACCATTGATGCGATGTTAGTTTGGAACTTCATTATGATGAACTTATAAATTTATACTACTTTAAAATCAGTAATCCAGCTAAACCTCGCAGTTACTGTAGTATCAATCTAGTACTGTGTTTACCTGTCGAAATTTGTATCAATATTTTCAATTTGTTGTTATGTTGTTTATTAAAATATCCGTAACAAACCTGTTTCCAGCAGTGTTTACAAATTTAATGATAACATTAGTCTTAAGATGAACATTTTCTGTAAGACCGCTGACAAAAATATCGTAAAGTTACGAGAATGATAAATCCTTCCAAATTTCCTCATAGCTTTACGAAACGATATTCTGTTGACGGTCTACGCCTCTACGGGGAAAAATTCACGTTACGACTAATGTTAGACTAATTTTGTTTCTGATAACGGGGCCCAATGGTTTTCTTCCTTCTTTTCCCACTCGAATGTTAATAATACGGGCAGTTATTTCATTATCTGTTTGCAGGTGTGCTATGAAGGCGACGTTGAAGCTGCGTTAGTGCAGTTTCTCACGCATGCTCAGGCTAATGCTGCTTACCGGTCACCGGACCCCGTGTTCAACAGCCGGTTTGTGAAAGTCTTTTGGCACAAAGAGGTAACTAATGTGTTCTAGTACGACGCCTGGCTGTGGAGTATTCATGCGTGCTGCCCGAGATCGCCGAATGATTGAGAACTGCGATCCGTTGAGCATTTCTTTGCGGTGAAAAGTATTATCGACATTGCTCTCTGGACGCTGGATGTGTCGCATTTTCAAGCGTGTGCATCGTGTAATATGTTCTGTTAAGTGCTTACCATTGCTACAGGGCCTGTTGCTGGGTAGAACTGACGTGCCTTGTTTCACAAATCACTATTGTGCACTGTAGGGTGGATTGCACGATAATGTGCCTGCGGCTAAGAAGGCTCCACTGCCAGCCAGAGCACAGCTGTCACTCAACAACATGCCCAAGGCCGAGGACAAAACAGAGGAGCCGGTAAGCAAGTTGTTAGCGAGTGTGGAATACTTTAAAAAATCAGATGGAAACTTGCTGATTTTGGAAACTTTCCCTCTCTTCTCTGCTAAAGTTCTCTAAGTGCTCACTTGAGTAGATATGTGTTCTGGTTGATGCTGTCATGTACTACGAGGTTTTAATATAGATCCAAAGTTTCCGGGTTGGTAACCGGCTCTCGTATATTCTCATCTGGGTCAGGGAAAAAAATAAAATGTCTTTTTCAGGGGCTACTTTTCAAGCTCGCGTGCATGAAAATAGCACTCTAAAATTTGGTTTGCATTGAACTCTATGCAAATTTACGGGGGCTCTTTTTGCCAGTTCCGGGGCTCTTTTTGGCATTTCGGGGGCTAAATCGCCCCGAGCCCCCGTGTATTTTTTTCACTGATCTGGGTAGATCTGTGTTCTGGGTGATGCTGTCAAGTACTGTGAGGTTTTAATATAGATCTAAAGTTTCCGGGTTGGTAACCAGCTCTCGTATATTCTCATCTGGGTAGATCTGCATTCTGGGTGACGCTGTCAAGTACTGTGAGGTTTTAATATAGATCTCGGCATGTGTAATGAGCATGGAGTGTACTGATATTTCATGCTGTTAGGTGCATTACAGAGTAGCTAGAATAGTCTTATTCGATTGCGTGCAGTGTAACGCATACAGCAATCATCAGACTGGATCGTAATGCGATAGCTAGCTTACCCCTCTGCCCCTCTGACGTTTATTGTGCCATAACGTGTACGATAGCATTCACCAGGGCGTCCCCTATTAGCAGAGATGATGGTGTATATTTGTTTAGTATTGGCTTAGGCACTAACATTTTTTGTATCATGCAGTATGGTATGATGTTTTTTCTCTCACTACATTTGAACTTATCTTTTTTATCTGGGCTATTGCTACTATTACAGATGTGATAATTTATTTTGTGTAAAAACTAAATTGTTTAGGAATTTTTGGTGCTGTCGTTTTTGGTAAAAATGTGATGAATAAGGCAATAATAAAAAAAAGGCAGTCATTGTCAAAATTATGTGGCTTAATTGTAAAAATGAGGTATATATCTGCTTTCAAATTGCAAAATTTAATTTCCATTTGGAACACAAATTGGTTTGATAGTCAGTACTCAAGAGTCAAATCTGGCCTACATTAAACCTTGATTGGCGTAGTTTTGCTGTACAACTGCATCTCGAGGGTAAAAGGTGTCCTTTGTGGACAGGTTTTGATTTGATAAGAGGTGCCCATCAACATCGATTTGACTACATAGTTTTATGTTTGAACTTTGACGTACACAACGTGGACGAATTTAACTAGAACTCCCTGCCTGCATAAAACTACGATGCGTGACGACGTGCTTTCGTCAACGTTGCAGGCCGTCGTGCACAAAACATCGACGGGGCTGACGAGGACGGTGTACAATGCTGCGACAGCGCACGCACCGCCGCCCCCGACCGCCAAGACGTCGGCGGAGGCGTCATCTGCGGCGGCGATCAAGGAGGAGATTCTGGAGCAGATCAACGTCGCGAACAGTGCGGCCGTCGCGCGGTCGAACGCGAAGAAGAAGCAGGAGGAGAAGATGAAGGTGAGGTGGTGAGGAGGGTGGAGACGGGCGGGGGAGGCAGGGAACTTGTGACGTGGAAGTGCGCGTTTCGAGCGGAAACGAGGGGGTGGGGCACGTGCGAACGTCCTGAGGCGGTCCGGAGAATGTCAGTGAAGCCGTGCATGCGTACGTGCATGTGTGCTCGTGTGCATTTGCCTGCTTGTGTGCATGCGTGCGCTCTTGCTCGTCTGTTGCGTCGCGTCTGCTCGTGTGCGTGCGTGATGCGTCTGCTCGGGTGCGTTCGTCTCGCTCGTGTGCAGTGGTGTTTCGTACTGCTCGTGTGCGTCGCGTCGTGTCTGCTCGTGTGCGCGTGTTCGTGACTGTCCTGCTTGTGTGGTTCAGCACTGCTCGTGTGTGTCGGGGGGAGGGGGGGCGTTCGTTCTGCATCGTGTGCGTGAGTTCGTCCGCCTCGCGTAAGCGTGGGAGCAAATATGTCTGCTCGTGTGCTGATGCGCCTGCTCGTCGTGTCGCTCTGCAATCTCGTCTGCTTTGTGCCGTGCGTGTGTACTTCGCCCTGTGCGTGGCCGTATCGTCTGCTCGTGTGCGTGTGTTTCGTCTGCCTCGTAGTGCGTTTGCGCTGCTCGTGTGCGTGCGTTCGCTGCTCGGTGTGCGTGATGTTCGTCCTGCCTCGTGCTGCTTTTTGCCTGCTCGTGAGTGCGTTTGCCTGCTCGTAGGGGTGCGCGTGCTGCTGCGTGTGTGTGCGTTCGTCTCTCTTTGCGTGCGTCTGCCTCGTGTGCGTCTTGCCTGCCCTCGTGTGCGTGTGTTCGTCTGCCCGTGTGCGTGCTTGCCTGCTCGTGTGGCGTTCGTACGTGCTCGTGTGTTGTGCGTTCGTACCTTGCTCGTGTGCGTGCGTTCGTTCTGCTCGTGTGCGTTCGTCTGCATCGTGTGCGTGCGCGTCTGCTGCGTGTGCGTCGCCGTTTCCGTCTGCTCGTAGTGCGTGCGTTCGCTGCTGCGTGGTGGCGTGTGCTCTGCTGCGATGTGCGTCGTGTCTGCCTGGTGTGGCGTGCGTTCGTGCTGCTCGTGTGCATGAGTTTGCCTGCTTGTGTGCGTGCGTCTGTCGGTGTGACCTAGTGCGTCTGCTCGTGTGCGTGCGCTGCTCGTGGTGGCGTTTGCCACTGCTCGTCGTGCGTGCGTCTGCGCTGCCGTGTTGCGTGCGTGCGCTCATGGTGCGTGCGTCTGCTCAATGTGCGTCAGCGTCTGCTCGCGTGTGTGCGTCTGCTCGTGTGCCGTGCTTCTGCTCGTGTGTGACGTGCGTCTGCTCGTGTGTGCGTGCGTCTGCTTAATGGTGTGTGTCTCCTATACTCGTTCGGGGCATCGCATGCATGCGTGCATGTGGCTCGTGTGCGTGCCTCTGTGTGCTTGTGTGCGGGTGCGTGCATGCTGCGTGTGCTCAGTGGTGCGTGCGTGTGCTCGTGTGCGTGTGCTCGTGTGCGTGTGCTCGTGTGCGTGCGTGTGCTCGTGTGCGTGTGCATGCATGCGTGCGTGTGCTCGTGTGCGTGTGCTCGTGTGCGTGTGCTCGTGTGCGTGCGTGTGCTCGTGTGCGTGTGCATGCATGCGTGCGTGTGCTCGTGTGCGTGTGCTCGTGTGCGTGTGCTCGTGTGCGTGCGTGTGCTCGTGTGCGTGTGCATGCATGCGTGCGTGTGCTCGTGTGCGTGTGCTCGTGTGCGTGTGCTCGTGTGCGTGCGTGTGCTCGTGTGCGTGTGCATGCATGCGTGCGTGTGCTCGTGTGCGTGTGCTCGTGTGCGTGCGTGTGCTTATGTGCGTGTGCGTGCATGCGTGCGTGTGCTCGTGTGCGTGCCTCCGTGTGCTTGTATGCGTGTGTGAGATATTCTGCTCTCTCAGCATTGCACTGCGGCGATGTCTGATGTGTCGTGACGGACGCCGTCTCTGATTATTTGTAATCTCTGGTACGTTATTATTGCAATGCATAAGGGTATTGTAAGATGTTGTTGCGACGCGCGGGATTGTAATATGATATTGTTGTGACGAGCGAGATGTTAATATGTTATTTTTGCGACACGCGAGATTGTGAGAGGTCATTTTGGAGACACGTAGGATTCGCTTAAGCTAGTAGTGCGGCGTGAAGAATCGCCGTACAGTATTGTCACGCGGTATACGGGTTTTGGAGTGGCGGTACTTTATGTACAATGGGTCAGCTATTAGATTATTGTCATTGATTTAGGTTATTAAAAGAAATCTTGTAAAATACCTATAAGTATAATCGTTCGTGCATTTCTGTTGCATTATTCACACGGTGGTCAGCACTGTTTTTACGCGCGTAACACCTGTCTTCCGTTGTCTTACAGCAAGGAGCCAAGTTGAAGGCAGACCTGCACAAGCAGCAGCAGCAGCTGCTGGAGAGGCACATCCAGCAGCAGAAGGTACTTATAGAGAAACTGGAGAAGAACAAGCAAGTGAACCCGAGCGAGAGAGCCTCCATCATGAAGGTAGGAATCTTCCTCCTCTATCTGCTGGTTCCCCCCACGCTCACTACATACAGAGCAAACGATTGTTTTCACGATATGTCCACTCGTAGAACTTATCGCGTGTCATTTTCTCCTATCAGCCTGTGAAAATTTTGCCATGTAAATGCCGAGGGCACACGGGAGAATTTTCAAGCAGATTTTGTCTCGAGCAATTATAATTGCTGATATCGGCAATTGCAATTCCTCGTGTGTGTGTAGTGCAACCAGTCTAGCAATTTTAATTATTAGTTTATTTGTAACTCGCAATCAGAGACTTTTGATAAGTCACATGACTTATTTTAACGCAACTTATTTTACTTTATTATACGCGTAGTATTTATGAAAAGCACCACTATGACTGGCCAGGGTGATGTGGTCATCTAGATGCATGTTGGCGATTGAATTCGTATCGTATATGTGCGTAGGTTGCTGTAAGCAATCTTCATTACTGCCCAGGTTGGCAATTTTGTTTCTTGTGACAAAAATTGTCGAATAATCTCCCACGTGCTCTATAGGCTTAATGCAAGATTGGCAACGTTTTCTCGATTTATAAATCATTAAGCTTATATGATATGTGTGAGTGAAATGTGTGTAGTGCATTAACTGATCTCATGTCTCACAGACATTGATGTCACTGCAAGACAGCATAGCAAAGTTAAAAGAGGAGATCACCAAACCAGAGTTGCAGTCGTTGACAAAAAAGGAGGTGAGAAATTTTTTGTGAACAAGAACATCAATCTATCACAAATCAATAATATATTTATAATCAATTTATACTCACTCTATTTCAGTCTACAGATATTTAAACATTTGTATACCTCATATAATTGCTTCACCTTGGCCATGTTCTTGGTTTGGATCATGGCTCCTCTTCTTGCTAAATCAAATTAGTGTGGTTTAACAGTATAAGGTATACATGTCGGGTTCTGGCGTGAATTGTACGTAGTTGTTTAACGTGACTTGTCCGTAATGTATAATTAAATTCGTTGTCATGTTGATGATTGCACTTGCAGGCACAGAAGGTGTTGCTTGATGCAGAGTTGGAGGTGATGACTAAGGAGGCTACTGGAGCTGACAGCTCTGAGCTGAGAAAGCGTCTCGCTGAACTGCGCCACGAGGTAGGCAAATTGACATATTGTCCTATAGGTATATATATACATATATATATATATATATACCTATGTGTGTGTGCGTGCGTGCGTGCGTGCGTGCATGTGTGTATGTGTTTTATATTATATAGCTGCCCTGCTGTATTATTCTTTGTTATATCGGCATGAATTGAGGTCCAATCATATTGAAATCTTTTTACTGTCTTTTTTCCATCACTAATATAAAAGTAATGGTAATAATATTGCGGTACTTTAATTGGCAATGAGATTTAATCTTTCGATAAACATCGTAATGTGAGTCAGGGGGCAAATTGATGTTAGCAACTTTTGTTGTTTTTTCTTCTCGTGTTGTAGGCATATAGTCTCGGCCTTGTGGGAGCCGCGCAGACCTACCGTGGGCGGGGGCGTGGCCGGGGTAGAGGCAGGGGGCGGGGCATCGGCGAGGGGCGGCGCGGTCGAGGCAGGGGTGTGCGGGGCGGCAGGGGCGCGATGGGGCAGCACAACACGATCGACAGGAGGCCGCGACAGCTGATGGTGCAAGGCTTCTCCCTCGACGAGAAGGAGGAGCTGATGTCTCACTTTGCAGTAAGTGTTAGAGAGTTACATGCGCTTCCGTCGAAGAAAGCTGTAAGCCGGTCTTCACAGTGCGTCAGTGAATAGGAGAGTTACGGATACTGTTACACAAGATAGTTGTAATCTCTATCTAGTGTGTTAGTTAGTGTGAGAGCTACATACACTGTTACACAAGATAGTTGTAATCTCCATCTAGTGTGTTAGGTAGTGTGAGAGCTACATACACTGTTACACAAGATAGTTGCAATCTCCATCTAGTGTGTTAGTTAGTGGGATAGCTACATACACTGTTACACAAGATAGTTGTAATCTCTATCTAGTGTGTTAGTTAGTGGGATAGCTACATATCTGTTACACAAGATAGTAAGCCACTCTATCTACTCTGTTCATTAGTGAGTGTGAGAGTTAAATGTGCTGCCCTTACGATTTTAAGCCAGTTTAGGTTTTACTGTCGCTTTAAGAAAAGTGTAACATAAGTATTGGTAATTTAGAGAGTCACTCAACCTGTATTGAAATTATTATGGTGTCATATTATCACAATAACCATAAAGATGCGGTATGGGTGGTCTCGCGTGCACACATATTCCACTCTCCCTTTACTTTGTGATGTGTCCATATTCCACTCCTCCCTCCTTTACTTTGTGATGTGTCCATATTCCACTCCTCCCTCCTTTACTTTCTCACGTGTCCATATTCAAAACCACATTTACTTTAGCGTGTCTGTGTTTCACGCCCCCTTTACTTCTTCGTGTGTCCTTGCCCCATGTTAAGACCTCGTGTCGTTTCTGCGGCAGACCTTCGGCGCAGAGTCGACCGAGTTTGACGACAGTGCGGCGCGGCCGTCGCTCGTCGTCGGATTCAAGCGTCGGCCGGTGGCCGAGTACGCCGCCGGCAATGCCGCAACGTTCCGGGGCAGGAAGCTGACGATGGCGTGGCACGCGGCGACGCTGCTTGCGCCGGCAGCAGCGGCGGTGACGTCGCAGCACCAGCAGGACGAGGAGGAGGACCTCGGAGACCTGGATGCCGCGGAGGCTGCGCTGCTCGCTGAGGTACACGAACACTGCCGTGTAGACCTACACGCGTTAGGTAGAATTATGACTGTGTGTAGATAGTACGGCTGCGCTGCTCGCTGAGGTACACGAACACTACCGTGTAGATAGTACGGCTGCGCTGCTCGCTGAGGTACACGAACACTACCATGTAGACCTACACGCGTTAGGTAGAATTATGACCGTGTATAGATAGTACGGCTTGGTGAGCAGGTACATGCCGCATAGATTTACATAATCGGGATGGGGTGGTTATGGTTTATGTCATTCGTTCAATGCCAGCCTTCACGCTGGCTATAACTGAGCCATAGCCATAGGTCAAACAGTCCTAGACCACCCACCAGCAGCTATTCATTACTGCTACCAGTGCACCGGCAGCTTGATGTAGGTGGCCAGTAATAGGCAGTGAATTCATGAGAAATAGTTGCACAGTGAATTCACCTGCACTTTGCTTCGGCTGAGGACCATGATTGTGTTGGCCGTAGATGGAGCAAGAGGTCCTGTTTTGCAATCGTTTTTTAGTTATTAATATAAGAGCTTCGAAAATACATCTTGTCTTTAGGAATTGCTTCAATGCACTGCTAGCTCGTACTTCCTCGAGTACAGATTTTTTTGAGGATCGATTATTTTAATAATTTATTATCTAATTCATGGCTGCGAACGATCAACGATATTTTGATTGTAACTGATCATCGGTGCGTCACTGTGGGTGGTCAATACTGATGTCGGACGTTGCTGTAATAGACTTTTCATTGCTGCTGCAGGGCGAAGATGACGAAACGGCAGATGACGACATCCTCCTTGGTGACGACGAGGACGACGACGACGACGAATCACGCTCCTGGCGCCGATGATCGCCGTGGAAACGCCGCGGAGCATTCGACAGTGACGTCACGGTCGTCTTCTGAGAGTGCCGGATGGTGCAGGCGGAGGCTCGCGTGTTTCTAGAACAGTGTCTGTACGCGTGTATGTAGTAGTAGGTGGGCAGTGGTCAGCACACACTCGATGCGTGTGTAGTGATGGATAGCAGCTGGGAACAAGTGTAATGACCAGGCCGTGCCTGTCACTGCTAATTGACACAGACGAGCCAGCGAACATGAATTAATTCACCCTTATTAGTCCACTGCCCGTGTACAGTTTGTGATGGTGCATAAAGATGTATTTGAATGCCCACTCGTTTATATGTCGCTTATCTCGCGTTTATGTTTTAGTCGTTAGTTTATGCAAAGTTTGGCCTTCTTTCACTCCGCATCCTCTCTGTTTTAAAAGCACGGCTTCAATGAATTGTACTGTCGTATAGTTTGAACCTGGTCAGAGATCCAAAAGGAGTGGTCCTGTCCTCGATCAGTTTGCCAAGGTGACTGTGCGTGATGCATGCAGAGTTGATGCCCTGTTAACCGGTAACTCCATGCAATCGTCGTGAGTTTCAGCTCGTCATGTGTACTGGTCTCATTTTCTAGCACCACTCATTTGATACTTTCTGCCAAGTCGTCTATACCGGCATTTACTGCTGGTAGTGTTTGACCTAATGTGCCGTGTTTCCGATTTCTAATGGCAGTGGCCTGGTGTGCATCTCGCTACTCTGTCTACGTTATTAGAGCGAGCTCGTTTGCAGTGCCAGGCAGTATCATTATTGAAATCAGAAAGTGACAGGCATCAATTACAACATGCACCATGTCTCTTATCGTAGAATAGACAAATGTAATGGTTTTAATGGTTGAATTATAATATTTTACACTTAAATCTGTAGGAATGTGATGATGCTGTTATCCTAGTCTTTGTATACTAGAGTGGGAGAGAGGAAGGGCAACAGACGTGTGTCTTGAATTTCTTATCTTGTTATCAGGCTGTGACATTTTCTTTGATGTTTAAATGTGGATGATTTCTATGCTGGGGTACCTACTAGTTTTCAATGCTGATGAAATCAATGTGATAACTAGCAGATCTCGATACATTTTTAAACCAAGTAGCCAGCGTGTTGTACATGGTTTGTAACTTATATAGAGCTGATGGTACAGTTGTTTTCTGTTTGATAAAGCTGATTAGCAGTAAAATCTTGGTTTCCAGCCAGAGAATGCCCAACCCAATCAAATCACTTCTGTGTATCAGTTTTACTGCACCTCTGGTTTCTTCACTTCGTTGACGGTGTTACGGCTACTAGTGTGTACTGATTCTTCAGGGGTTTTTGTTGAAATGTATTTACTTGTGACGGTGAATATGTGCAGTACGTTCATTCACTTTCTCATACCTCTGTCCCTCTATCCCTCACTAATATGCTACTGTGGGGGTTAAGTAGCTGCATCAACGTCTGGATCCCCAAATTCATCATGAACAACTTTGCCTCATCAATGTTGAGTGACGGCAGTGTAGCCAGCTGTTTATGTGCTAAAAATAGCATTTGTCACAACTCATGAACTTGAGGATACGTGACGTATTGGGGTCACCAGTTGAATAGGTGCCGACAGGCTAGAAAACTGAACAGTCAGTGAACGTACTTGCACAAGTGCACCTTCGGATTTCTTCGTGATCAAAAATGTTGCCAGTCATTTCTAGACAGAGACTTGATACAGCCGTTGAAGTAATATTCTAGTGTTTGCACATTATTTGTAGTGCAGCAGCAGTGAGAAGTATTTTTGCTCTGTATTGTATAATTTTATTAGTGTGTTACTGTGCAAGTTGGATGTATTTCTTGTTGACATGCAGATCGTTGTCAAAATATTATGTATTTTGAAATGATGAACATTAAAAGATGAGAAAATACGAATGAGAAGAGAAAAGAAAGAAAGGAAAAGATTGAGAGATTTGAGAATGAAAAGATAAAAAAGATTTGAACAGAAAAAAAATCTGATTGGCGATGAAAAAAAATATAACAAGCACAGAACGTGACTGTGCAAAACAAAAATCACCCGAGAATGATTTCTACATTTGCAAAGTCCTCTCCACTCTGTTTGGACACCTTTGTTGTTGTGTGCCGTGAGATTCCCCCCCCCACCCATATTCCACTCCATCTTCACCTGGAGCCGATGACTGGGCAGCTGTAACGGAAACTAGACGTGTGTGACTCGCACCACCTGCCATCCACTACGAAGCTACGATAGGCGAGCGATGATTTGGAGAAGCGTACCAACAGCAAGTCAGCATCCAGGAATCCATAGCAGCGACAGCGACTGAAGAGTGGTTCAATTCCAGTAGATGCGTCTGTCTGGACAGCATGTGAAAATAGAGCACTCTGAGGAGGCACAAGGAGACAGGGTCGTGTGTTGTAAGATCAGAGAGAGAGAGAGAGAGAGAGAGAGAGAGAGAGAGAGAGAGAGAGAGAGAGACTGAGATCAGAGAAGCTTGTCTTCTTTTTGCAAATTTATACTTATCGAGACATTCACTTTTCTATTGTGATTGGCATTTGCTTGCACATTTCAAGTATTACTACTATCTCACAACGTACTAGGCTATTTTACAATAGGGTTAATCTTGCTACTATTAATTATCTGCTGTATTTGCAGGTGATGCAGTCTAATCACAGTGGATCTGGTTTTGCTATGTATGGTTTCACACAGTAGGTGACATTGCAAACTACATAATGCACAAGGTAAGTTGATTCTAAATACGTCCTTGCGATGGACATATGTATACATTTATCTGTGTTGCAATTTTCTGTGTTATGAACGTTCTTTCTAGCTTGTGGTTCAAGTAGAAATCGGTTGGACTCGCTATGAAAATTCATTTCGATTTTCAATCTAGTTTGAATCACTTTGCGAATTGCCTTGCAGGTTAGGTGGTTCTTGCACACATGAACTATATTATGGTTATAAAAACGGTCACATTTTGTTCGGTTACGTGGTTTATGCAAACGTTTTGTGTTTAATTTCTGTCTCGACTGGAAACCTCTAGAGTTTCTCAAGTTACCTACAGGTAACATCTTGGTCAATCAGGCTTACTTCCTGCTAATGCTGATACATCTAGGGCTGCAATTTATTACAGAACCATAAAATATTAGGTTTAATAATATAATGTCACGAAGTGACGAATAGGAGGACAAAATTATACCCCTCATGTCTCTTCCTATAAACGTGGTTTATTTTTTGAAACTTCCAAAACGACATCCTGGATACTGGACCAACAAATCCCCCCCCCCCCCGCTCACTCACACAGGCTTGGTTGTTCGCATTCCTTTCGTTTTCCTTTTTTTTATTCTCATCTTTAATCCTCTTTTTCTGCTTCGTCCTTCGTGCTTCGTGCTTCGTTCGTCTTTTTTCTGCTCTTGCTACCCATTACCATTTTCATCAGTATTAACGATCTTTTTTTCCTTCTGTGGTTTCTCCATCTCTTCTTATCCTTGTCTTCAATACTTCTTCGTTATCACTAACAAAGAATTGAAGATTTTTGATTTTGAATTTTAAATTTATGTTGACTTTGTTCTCTTTGACGCTATGCGGTTGCTTTTATCATCAACGCCGTATGCGTATAGTCGACTCGTATCCGTGATGACACGAAGGCATATCGAGCCAGGTTAGGTGAACTTTCGCCACACAATTCCATGCATTTTGTAATAAGAGAGTGCTTTAACATGATCCACGCGAGAGTTCGTTATGCGAGTATTCACAACGAATTCGCTGTGGTGTGACTCGGTGTTATAATGAGGCTGGTTACATATTCAAAGACGAGCGTCTGGTGCGTAAACTGAGAACCACAGTCTAAAGCAGCATAGCCGCGCATCTATTAGCAACCTTATACCAGCTGTATGAGATGAATTGCCAGTGTGCGTCTACCTCATCCGTGTGCCTAGACGGGTTGTGAGAGTTGGACAAACGTAAGTGCAATATACTATAGCACGTCAATTATCCCGTCGCGCTTAGAGTGCATCCTGAGGTGACTGCAACATCGGGATGCACCTGCATTCATTATATACAAGCCAGTGAAGCCACGCTTAGCAATGAGAGGGCTGCTATGCGCTGGACAGTGCTGCCATCTATGACCTCCGGCAATAAATCATTGTTGCCCTGTTCAGATGGGTGTACCATTAGATCAGTTTTCATCTCTAACCGTGTCTTCGCGTTGGTTTTCTTTCATCTGGTAACAGTTAAGTTGACAGTTTATGATGGTTTTGCCTAAGATTGATCGCATATATCGATCTTAGCCATTACATTAATTACAGGATGACCCCTTCCTGACTAATATACTTACGCAAACTTCTATTCTATCCTCGCTAGCGGTTCTTTAAGAGTTTACATGATTGGTTACACTAGAAAGTGCTGTCATAACTCCAACATAAATCACCTGGGATGGTTAATACATGCCTTTGTTTTCGAAATTTCTCTGCTTGACTCCATGTATTGGGCTGATTTATGTATAATTGCCTTTTCTCATTAGCAATGTTTTCGCGGCTTATGAGATGCACATAATTATAATTAATAAGGCCTTTACATGCATATTTCATTAAATCTAATTCAAAGACAGTTTCTAACTGTCATTACGTGATTGAAGCTATGTGCATTTTAAACAGATTCCTTTCATTGGTAAAGAAAGAGTAGCGTTGTTTACTCTGTTATACAATCAATGCTCGTCTATATCGTAGAGTATGTTGCATGCATGCTATGACAGCTTTATCGTATAAAAATTGTGAAAGGATACAGGACACATATATTCTGCGGACTGACGTGTAATTGGCTCTATTCATCCTAAATTTGCATGTGCATCGATAATTTATTTAGCTACGCTAAAGTAATTGCCGAAGTTTAATGACTAGAGCAGATGCATTTTTATGCAATTTTAATCATTAAGGACCACGTTCATGCGCACGCTGTACAGGCGGGATGCTGTGAGGTGTTTTCTCAGACTGGGTCATTAATGAACTACCTAATTACCTGCCGAGCTATGAAACAAAACCGGTAGGAGTAACGGTGGCCCGCGAACACACAAAGGTGCATTCACCTCATACTTGTTTGCCTCTGTGTGCGCATATGTGAGGGCATGTGTTTGCGTGCGTCCGTGCGTGCGTGCATGACTGTATGTATGTGTTATGTGTGTAATCTAACGTTAACGTTGTTAGAAGCGTATCGCACGCTCTCGAACGTGCGTGTGTGCAACAAATCGTACATGCGTGTGTGTATGTATACGTGCGTGCGTGTATGTGTATGTGTACGTGCGTGCGTGTATCTGTACGTGCGTGCGCGTATGTGTACGTGCGTGCGTGTATGTGTACGTGGGTGCGTGTATGTGTACGTGCGTGCGTGTATGTGTCCGTGCGTGCGTGCTTGCGTGCATGTGTGTGAAGGTGCGTGCGTGCATGTGTGTGTGTATGTGTGTGTGCGTGCGTGCGTACGTGTGTGTGTGTGTGCGTGCGTGCGTACGTGTGTGCACGTGTGCGTGCGTGCGTACGTGTGTGTGTGTGTGTGTGTGTAGGTGCGTGCGTGCATGCGTCCATGTAGACGTGACTGTCGTTGCATGTGTGTGCATAAGCGTGTTGCAAGCGTTTGGGCATGTGCGTGCGGCGTGTGTATGCGCGCGTAAGTGTAGCATATGCATAATATACTGTGGTCGAAATTTCCATGAACATAATCACGTCCTTGTAATATCACAAAACTCTTTCCGTGCGCACGTGCATACCTTTGTGCGAGCCTACGTGTGTTTGCGTGCGTGCGTGCGTGTGTGCGTGCGGGCGGGCGGGTGGTCGGGCGTGCGGGCTAGTTATGTTTCTTATGAAGTCTGCGGTAGGTGATGTGGTGTGTAGCACTGTGTACTGTGTTTGTCCGGGTGGGTAATATAATATAATGGCTCAGGATGTATGTAAGAAATGCTATGATGGTAGGTGTCGAACGAAGGTGATCAGGTGATACGTGGGCTGGGTGGTGACGGAAGGAGGCGACATGAGGGGATAGGTGGAATGTGAGGTGATGTAGGGCGGTTTGCTGAGAGGATAAGTGGGGTGGGAGATAACAGAGGGCCCGGCGGTATTGTGAGGTGTGATGGGGTGGGTGGGGTTACAGTTAATTGCAGAGCAATCTTCACCGATCATAGATTATTAGTAAGTTGCGCTAGGCACGCGTTTTACAACAAACGACTGTAACCTTACACTACGCTAGAGAGTCTGACTAAACACCTTTTGTCGGTACCCTTTATGTAGCTCCTGCGGTTTCCCTTACGTGTACGAGATTGCTAGTTAAACGTTACCGTTCTTTGGCATTCGCGTTAAAAGCGGGAAATTCTAAATCGCGTTGCTGTAGACCGTTTTATAAACGCGCGCATCAAAAGTAATTGGTAATTTAATACAAGTACGCGGGAATTTTTCCTCTCTACTGTCTATTGTTATTGCAGTAATTTGCAAAAATCTGCTCGCTGCGAAGGATAAAGTTCCAATGCTTCTGCCTGACTCCGCAAAATAGGCCGCACTTCACGAAATCGCGTCCCAATTATAACTAACCATTTCCTGCGAAATTCTTTTGGCGAGTTTAGTTGAACAGCGGCGATGCGCTACTATTACATCGCGAATAGAAGCGCTGACGCTGACCGCGTAGCGATGTTTAGCGACTTGAGTTCATGAGCAGAGCGTTTCCCTCGGTGCCACCAGCACCTCTCTTATATAAGCTCGAGAGCTTTCCGCGCCTAGTGCGATGTGAACGTTGATATATACGAGGAATTCGCTAGTACGATATTATGACGCGAGCAGCTCGCCTAGAGCGATCGAGAAATGCATGCCTCGCCGCCATGATATATACACGCTGGTTCGAACTCACTCCGGCATAGTCAAAATGTGCCTGGCGACTCAATGTCGCTACAAATATACAAAAGCTGCTCCCATGCCGGATAGTGACGTACTTCGTGTGTGTTTATGAGACACATGGCCTTTGTATTTGATTGGTCTACGAAACGTGTGACATCGTTTCCCACGAGCTCTGCGTACGATCATCGCGGTCGAATTGAACGCGTGAGAAATAGAGACGTACACGTTTATGAAGGCAGCCAACACGCGCAGATACCGCATATATATATTCCCCGCGTTACTGGTCCGCATGCGAGCTGCTCTTGATGAATAGCGATATACCTGAACAAGAGGTACGAATCGACATAACCGCTGGTAGAATACGAGCTGGTATATAGTCCGCATCGAGTTGCGCATTCATAAATGACTTATAATGGAACCTCGCGCCCCCTCTTTACAATTCCCACACCCAGAATTGATCAGCAACCATAATGACAATTTTAACTAAATATTTATGCGGTGCATGCATATAGGTATCTTTCATCGTCCGCCCTCCCCTACGTGTGGCGCAGGAATGCCTTTATATCGACGACTATAGTAGGTGGTTGCTATGCTCTATAATTTACCTATGGCGTAGATGAGCATGAACCCGTGTACGCGCACAGAGATGCTTTGTGTTGTTTGCCTGTCGGGAGAGATGCGTCAGACGACACGCGCGCGCGATCCCCCGCTACCACGGCATTCACGCTAGCGACACTAGTGTCTGGCGGGCGTGGCAGTGGACCGACACCTGCCGACCGATTAAACACTTTCACCCGTGATAAACGTTCACGGGGATTCGCATTATTAGCCAGCGCTGAGTTTGTGACGAGTTCTCAGTGAACGACATG